ACCTGACAGGCGGGCCGCGGATGTCAACTTCAATGTGAGCCGAACGGGTAACCAGCGTTTCTTTGCAGCAAATTATACTCAAGTTGGTAGGCATCACCGCATCAGTCAAGCAAAAATAACGTTGTAGTTTTTGAAAACCATGACCCAAATTGCGGTAGTTTTTTCCCCGCTATTTACTTGATTTTTTTACTGGTTAATATTACAAGAAAGTGTCACAAATGCACAAGTAAGAGGATGAAAGGTGGAATTCACCGCCGGTCGACACTTGTACCGCACACCCCAGAGGTCATCCACCACCACCACCACCATCCCGGTCGGCACGCCGCAGCGGGAGAGCCTGCGTGCGGCCTCCGGATCAACAACATCAGCAACACAGAAGCGGCCACGCTTGCCGGAGAGCGCCAACGACAATGACCTTGCTGCCGCTGCTGCAAACTTCACTTTGCTACCTTCCAATTCCGCCCTCCTCTCCTCTTCTTAAGAAGAGGTCAACCCAAGCGGGCATGGCTCAGGCCCAGTCGCACACAGCCCGCGCGCACAGTCGCAAGCATCCAAAACCCGCAGCCGCAGCCCAGCCGGCGACGGCGAGCCATAATATACCAAACCCAAACCAAGCACACGACACGACCCAGCCAGCATCGCATCACCATAGCGTCGCGTCGCGCGCTCCTTCCCTTCCTTCGCGTCCACGACCGTCTCCTCCTCCTCCTCCTCCTCCTCCTCTCAAGCTTGCAACAGCCGGAGCTACATCTCTACAGGCCTCGCCGGAGATGGCGGCCACGCCGTTGCTGTCGGGGGAGGACACGACGACGCCGTTGCATGGCGTCGTCGTGATCGCCCTCCCGGACCACGCCGACGGCGGGGGCCGGGACGCGTCGCCCAGGAGCGAGGCGCCGGCGCCGGCGGCCCTGGGACGGGCGTGGAGGCTGCTGCGGCTGGCCACGGCGCCGCTGGTGGTGCTCGCGGCGTTCGCGGTGGCGGCGCACTGCTACGGCCTCTACTCCTTCTCCTTCTCCGGGGAGGAGGACTGGAAATGGGGCGAGGGGCGCGCCTCCTCCTTCCTCCTGCCGCTGCACCCCAAGCCCAAGCCCGCCGCCGCCGGCGTCAAGGCCGCGGCGGCGGAGAGGGATTCGACCACGGCCGTGCTGCCGGAGAGGTGCGTGAAACAGGCCGGCGCAGGAATTCGAGTCCCTTTCGCCTAAAGGCACAATTTGCTCCTTTCCGCCGCCTGGATTCTTTTTGCATCCTACGACGGAAGGAAGTTTGTTTCTTGGCCTTGGGGTGGTTTGGTTGATTCCGTGCGCATTTGGTTCTTGTCTTCTCGGAGTTTCCCAGTCGCATTTTCCAGGGACTTCGGTTGGATCACCATTTTTGTCACTTTAATCTCAATCTGTTTAATAACTTCTCATCTTCGCTCTCGATTCCTTTATTTTTCGCATATTAGTGTGTCTTTTTCTCGTACACTTTGCAAATTCCACAGCGCGAATATTCTATTAAAAAACATATATTTTTAAACGAATAATAATTTCACATGAATAACCTATCAAAAGGAAATGAACCACACATGAGTGAGTTGAATCCTTCCTTGCAGGAATTAGTCAAGGTAATTAACTAACTGGCCCAGCAGGGATTTGTTCTTTGGAATGTTGCATCTCTGTCCTGTCATGCTGGGTTTATAAGCATATTTGACCGTCGACATATTAAAATAGTACTTACAAGCCTGTATTTAGATATAGGCATGTCGCTACTGGTAGTATAAACCAGCAAGCAAAGACTTACACCGTCGACCTCACAAAGTCAACATTTTGGTGTTCAGATTAATCTTTCTGCTCGCATGATTAATCTTTGACAAAGTCCTGTTCTTCGATTCTGTTGCCTATTAAGAATACGGTGCAATTTTCGGTACTAACATGGCATTGTTCTTCTTCTGATTGTTCCACCTTTTAATATGCAGGCAGTACTACACTTCTGTAAACATTGGCAATCCTGCAAGGCCCTATTTCCTTGATATTGATACAGGAAGTGCACTCACATGGATCCAGTGTGATGCTCCCTGCACAAATTGCACAAAGGTGAGTGCCATTTTCAGTCACATTCCATCATGATCCTGATTTCCAAAGTTGTGTTCCTGATCGGCTTCGTATCTTCTTATTACAGGGGCCTCATCCTTTGTATAAGCCCGCAAAAGAAAACATAGTTCCACCTAAGGATTCACATTGTCAGGAATTGCAAGGCAACCAAAATTACTGTGACACCTGCAAACAATGCGACTATGAGATCGCGTATGCGGACCGAAGCTCCTCTGCCGGCGTGCTTGCGAGGGACAACATGCGACTGGTCACCGCGGACGGTGAGAGGGAAAACATGGACTTCGTCTTCGGGTACGGCACGCCTTTTTCCGATAACCAAACCTGTTCAATCTTCAGAGATGGGTGGTGATGTCTGTATGCTAACAAACTGCCCATTTTGTGTACCATCTGTTAGGTGTGCACATGATCAACAAGGAAAGCTTCTAGACTCACCAGCAAGTACTGATGGGATCCTTGGCCTCAGCAACGGGGCAATGAGCCTCCCTACCCAGCTAGCCAAGCAAGGGATCATTTCCAACGTTTTCGGCCATTGCATCGCCACGGATCCCAGCAGTAGTGGCTACATGTTTCTCGGTGATGATTACGTTCCCAGATGGGGAATGACATGGGTTCCCATCCGCAACGGTCCAGAGTGAGTCTCCCCCCTCCCTTGTCTGAAGATTATTCTCGCATGTGGCCATCATTTCTGCCATGAATAGCATGGTACCCCGCGTCGTCTTCGGCGGGATACGGCATGCCCCGCTTGCGGCAAATCTTCAAGAAATCTTAACCAATTCCTGTCGCTCTCAGGACTCAAACTGCAAATGGAAACTTTGCCCAACTGCTCTGCAATGTTGCTTTGTTCTTTACTTCTTTCTAACATTTGTGTCGCTTCCACAACTGAAGTGGCCCCTTTTTTTCAGTAGCCATAGCAATTGATAGAGCATCACACCGTCGAATTATAGTATATTCATGCATTATGCTGTGAAAAAGATCTCCCTTGACCATACATAAAAACATTGCGCTTCTTGTGATCCATTATATGAAAATTCACTTTGTTGAGGTTAGAACGCGTATCTGACTGCAGTTTTGCATTTTGTGTACTGTCAGGGACGTGTACAGCACGATAGTACAGAAAGTGAACTATGGAGGTCAGGAGCTTAATGTGCGAGAGCAGGCTGGGAAGCTGACTCAAGTGATCTTCGACAGCGGGAGCTCATACACTTATTTTCCGCATGAAATATACACAAGCCTGATTGCTTCGGTGAGTTTTCGCAGTAACTCTCCAACAGATGAAACAAGTTCAGTTAATTCCATGCTGCATATACCTGATTACGATCTTGTAATTCAACAGCTCGAAGCGGTCTCTCCAGGCTTTGTACACGATAAATCAGATCAAACGCTGCCTTTTTGCATGAAGCCTAATTTTCCAGTGAGGTAATGTGCTGGAAATCTGTTAGTTCTCAAAACATCGTTTGGTTTTTTATCATCGCAATGGATGTAGAATTAAAACTTCATACTTTTCAGGTCTGTGGATGATGTGAAGCAACTGTTCAAGCCCTTGCTCCTGCATTTCAGCAAAGCATGGCTTGTGATCCCAAGAACGTTCGCAATTTCTCCCGAGAACTACTTGATCATCAGCGTAAGTTCACAGGAAACCCCAGTAATCACTTCAACCTCATTTCCTCTACGGAGTTCATCGCCATCATACTTTTCCTGTACCTCATTTTCAGGACAAGGGCAATGTCTGCCTAGGGGTGCTTGATGGAACAGAGATTGGCCACAGCTCAACAATAGTAATTGGAGGTAGCGACCGGTCGTTTGTGTGCCACATTTCCATGGCTTCACTAACCATCTCTGTCAAGCTCACCTTTCTCTCCCTTTGCTTGTTGCAGATGTTTCCCTCCGTGGGAAGTTAGTTGCGTATGACAACGACGAGAATCAGATCGGATGGGCTCAGTCAGACTGCAGCAGGCCACAGAAAGCAAGCATGGTTCCGTTCTTCCTTTCGAAAGCATTGCGCAGTCAACTTCTTTAAATGGCACAGGCAGATGATCGCCCCGTGTTCGCCTGACCATGCGCTCACCTTTTCGACGCGCAATTCTGCGACCGAAGCTGCCATAACTATATAATGGATGTAGTTAAACAAGGGGTATAGGAAAACCAAATTGGAAGAAAGGTGAATAGATATAGCCAGTACCTGTAATTTTTCTCTGCTGTATATATACCAAAGAAGCAGAACTCTGCATACCTATGGGTATGCTGTAGAGTATATCTCATCCACTTGTAAGACTAAGTGGTGAAGCATATCAATTTCAAATGAGTAGCAGCTATGTGATTTCTGATTTATTTATTTCTGTATTTTCTGTCCAATATACAGGAGTTTTTGGTTGGAATATCGCGTGGAGGCTACACATAATGTTTAACTCAAGCAACATAAGTCTCATGTCCAAACAAACCTCACCAACACATGGAAAGCAACATCACACCTTTGAGCAGAGTGTAACAAAGCATAGAAATGCATTAAAAGCAAGCTCACAACAAAAGCATTATGGTGACTCATGAGCAAACTAAAACACAGCTACCTTCCCATCATCAGGTAGGTCAGGAGACATCTCTCTTGCACACATTATACATGACATTGAGCTGCGCGTGCAACTACCAACTATCGAACAATAACATGTTATTTACAGAGTGCTTCAACATGTTAACATTAGAAATACAAGGTTCAACAAAGTTACCATATTGATCAACTTAGTGGCGGCAAACAGGAGCTCCATTAGCAACGCACCCCGTCAATGTTTTCATTGCACACACACACGAGTTTTGTATTATACACATGTCATTGTCCAAAATTATTAAACAAACTGAATCACAAAAGTGAGTGCCAAGGTTTCCAGGTGGAGGGACCTTGCAGAGTCATCGTCGATGTCAACTCTTCAGCCCAACAGACTTGCATATTTTAGCGAGAAGCCCGCCATTATCTATGCTAACTGCAACAGGCTCCTCCACAGGGTCCTTGAAATTAGCCTTCTCACTCAGCTCCTCAAATGCGTTAACAACATTCTGTAACCGGGCAACAAACTCGATTAGGAGCGAGGCAAATGTGGCCAAGGACAAGGCACTTGCACTTTCATATGTTTTTGACTCCTCGTCTTCGAGCGGCAAGTTTGGATGGAATGATCTGCGTGCAGGCCAGGATAGTAGCGTCTTGTAGCCGTCTATAGTTGCTGATGAATCATATCGGCTAAGAAACGAAGCAGCAGCAAAGCTCTTATAATGCTGAGCCGCAGTTTGATCGGCAATAGTAGGCTCCGTCACTTCATTCTTATTCTCTTTTGCCGCCGCGCTGTTGCCATTTATGGCATCTTTTATTCCTTCAGCTCGCTTGCTAGTGTCCCATCTTTCAGTGTTCACCAGAAGATATGACTTCTCGTCAATCTTTTTTTGCAACTCCTCAGCTGCCAAATGAACTTCCAGTAGAATATCTGAAGACCTCAACTTGGTCATTGTCTTCACATTGTCTCCAAGCTCGCGCAACACCTTAGCGCCTTCTCTGCCCACTCTATGAATTTCTGAAATGAAAACCCTTCTGCTTTCTGGCGGTGCCTACAATGAAAATCAAATATACATTTGTTTAGGTAATAAATGCAGAAGTTCAACAGGTTGTCGAGTAAACTAAATTAGCAAACCTGAATTTCTGAAAGAATGCAACCATGCAATGCCATAACCGCAAAGGAACAGTGCCTCAATGCTCCACCAACTTTAGTGAAACCCTTCCAAGGATAGTTCCTCGTTTTGTACGGACCATGGGGCGGTTCCCATATAGCAAAACCTAGCTAGAGCACATACAAAAGGACCGAGTCAGAATTAACAGAAAAGGTGAGATAACCCAAATAGAAGTGTTAGCTTTAGAGCAAAAACTGAACCAGGGTTTCCTCTTGCGCTGACGCCTCGACAGCTGCCCTGTACCCACTATATAGAGGATCATCAGAAGCTTGATATACAAGAATTTTTGAAGGAATCCTTTCATACTCCATGCATTTCAGATATCCATCGACACAGCCTAGAGTGAACAGCCAAATTGTCAATGAAGGCATAAAAATCAGATGTATACTGGTGTAAAGCCCGCACTTTGCTGCGGGTATTACTAAATGTTTTACTGTGTTTATTTTGAAATATTTATATGTAAAAATTGCATGTTTAAGCATTGAGTTGCAAAATCCAAATGTTGTTGAAGTGCATAAACCAACTGAAATGTCAAATTTTGGTAGATTGGTTTTCTGGCACAGTTAAGCAATCTTATAATTGTCACATCCTTTGGAAAGTTACAAACTGAGACATCTTAATTGTCTTTCCACAAAGAGAGATCATTTCACCAAGGGATGTGTCTTTTAACCAAAGGACATGACTGTCCCAACTGCCAAGATCTAACGGACTTGGTCGATCCTGGATATAATCCAGCTACTTTTCTTTTAGAGTGACGTGGCTTAATGTGAATGCTACATTAGGAGACAGTTTAGGGATAAAGAGGGATATACCCTACGGCATTGCAATATTACAACAACTAATATTTTCTAACTTTTTTTAGCAATGTATAGTTGACAAATACTGTGATTCTAAGCATCATTATATTAAGGGTTGGGGTGGGGTATTACCTTCTAAGGATTTTGCAACACCAGCAAAATTCTTTGCGATCAAATTGTGCAAATCCTCTCCAGACCAGATTGGGTGAATGCCTATATTGATTCCCAGACTGACAGCAGCACCAAGAGCAATCAATACAAATCTACTTACAGCCGTATCAGTGAACTTCCCTGTATTGTACCCAGAGACCATGACATAAACGAATGTCAACAAGAATACACGAAATCCATATTCATAAGGCTTCATCGTTGGGTGTAGCTTTGCCAAGTTTGTGATAAAACCTAGCAGTCAAAAACATAAAAGTAGAGGCGTACAAATTAGATACACCTGTATAAAATGCACCAGGAAATGATCGCAGCATGCCCCAATGCTTACCAACAGTAAAGATGCTTATAATAAGGATCACTTCTTCCAATGCACCCAAGTTTTTGGACAATTCGGCAACTGCTAGAGCAAGCCCTCCTGCAGTAAGAGTTCCTAAACCCCTATTGAAACCTTTGCTCAATGTTGCACCTGCATAATAGCGGACCAGGTTACTGAAGGGGAATTCCTACTATTTGCAGGTGTACAAACAAACAGAGCACCATATTGAGACCTAGGTAAGACAGAGTGATAAATAACTGATGTTTTATGTATTGAAATGGTATTTTGAAGACCAGAAAATTCACATGAGAAAGAAACAATCTTCAGTGCGAGTGTGCATCTGTGTGAGTTCTACAATCGGTACTACAATGAAGGGTTCCAATCATTCAACTAGAATCTCTAGTAACAGAGGTTAGCGGTACTTCCAAACACTCATTGTGAAAAGTTTACAAAATACAACTAGGTAAAAAAAACATAACCACTTCATATATGGAGCCAAACACCTCATTGAGCAGGCTAAGGAATAAACATGCAAGCCATGAAGCCAGCGATATAAAATTCAAAAATACCACTACCATTATGATTGACTTCTGCATCACAATGATATTATGGAAGACCAGCAAGCAACATCCCAGGAAATAAGAATACCAGTTGAGAACTACAGGTGCCTTTGGTCAAATACTAGTAGTTTGTCTACAGAACAACATTCATTTCTTTAGTCATATGTATTTCTACCATTCCGTATAGTAAGTTCAACAGCAGGTCTAAGATCAAAGTGGTCCCAAGTACAATCTCCAGCAATAAAATTTAGTGGTGCTTCCCATCGCTCATAGATAAACTAATGACGTTTTCTTAAAGAAAAAGGTAACTAGATCACTTTCTAAGTGGTGGCCCAGAGCCTAAACAATACAGAAAAGACAGAATCTACGGGTGATCAGTATAAATTATAGGAACACCACTAGATTAATCTGCCTATCTCAAGTTCCGATAGTAGCGTGCACGTTTCTTGCATCACCAGCAATAATGGGAGGTCAATTGACAGGAGCTGATGGAAGACAAAATTCTCTGTGTCCCTTAGCAGTGAAATATCTCACTCTAAATGATGTTGATACAGACTTCTCTTTCTGATTGAGAGGCTCTTGACATAGACTTTACACTCCTGAAATCTAAGCCTGACAGGTTCGCGTGTTCTTCACTGCAACAAGAACTTCTGATCCGCATATGTGAGCAGAATCGCACGGCAAAATGTTTACCCTAAATTAAAATTGACATGCTCAAGTCACTGATGCACCCGGGCATAAAATGGGCACATGACAGAGGCCTAAATTTAGCATTACGAGATCAAGTCACGGGGAATGTTGAAGAAAGTCAACGAGTTTTCCCCGAGACCTCGAACCAAGAATGGCACAGTACAGAAACCGTCGCAACGGAACGGGGGAAATGGCGGAGAAGCGGCGTGGACTGGCGCGTTACCGATGCTGAACTCGAAGACGACGACGACGGTGAGGATGGCCCAGACGGAGTGGCTGACGATGTCGCGCGGCTCGCGGAGGAAGACGAGGAAGGAGATGAGGGCGAGCGCCAGGCCGACCTTGGCCGCGAAGACGGGCTTCCGGCGGTCGGCCCGCGCGAACGCCCACATCTCGGCCGCCCCGTCGCAGAGCGCGCCCCACGCCCCCGCCACCGCGGCGCCGGCGCGGCGGAGCAGCCCCTGCTTGGGCCCCCCGTCGCCGCCGCCGGCCTGGGAGCCCGGCAGGCTCCACGCCGACGAGAGCAGCGGGACGTCCCCCCGCGCGCCCCGCTGGTCCTCGAGCGTCGACCACAGCGACCCCAGCTGCGCCGGCGGCACGCCCGCCGCGCCCGCGGCCATGGCCGGATGGATCTGCGAGGGCTTCTGGAAGGATACCGCGCGCGCGTGGGTTCGGATTTCAGGGTGCGCAGTGTTGCTCTCGGCCTTTCTTGGTCGGCGGCCGCGCCCGCGTGTCGCGGTCTCGGCTTATATGGATGGACTCTGGTCAGCCGTGGCGTCACCCCGGCGGCTGCCGCGCGACGCGAAAAGCTGCGGAGCCGGGGAGGGGAAGGGAAGGGACGGGCGGAAAGCGCCATGGGTGGCAAAAGGCCGCATTTTTATATGGCGGGATGGAATCCGGCGAGCGGCTGGCCGCCGTGCGATGCGATCCGCTGCGAGAGGTGCAAGGCCACGCAGGGCAGAATTGATCCGTCGCTTTCTCGTGATCCGGGCGCGCGTGGGGTTGATCCATCATCCTTGTGCCCCGTTGTCGGATTGGTCGGTCTGATCTGAAGAATTCCTCTTTTGTTTTGGACCTTTTTTGCTGGTTTGTGAGGCCAATTGCTCTTTGGAATCTGCCCCCTTTCGATTTCTGTATGTCGAAGGATTTTTTCAATACATTTTGTACTAACATTTTACTCAAATGGGAAATTTTCTTGTAATGTCCTTTCGCTCATAGAAATAGGTTGTGCAAGGAGGTAATTGCACCAGGATACAACAGCTTTGGGAAAATATCATGGAAACCAACATTCAAAAAAAAATGTTGGTTTGGAAGTCAGAAAAAAAAAACAGAAACAACATGAAGATGTTAGGATGTGATGTTTTACTGTCATGTAAAATTCCAACTTGAAACACTCTACAAGATGTGAGACATGAAAACAACAAATTCAACAATTAATAGTGTTGTTACTGTGTTCGACACCGTTCGATGCTGATTTTGTTATTTTTATAGCTCACATCCTGTAATATGCTTGAACTTGAACTTTTATTTGGCAATAAAACATCACCCTCTTAACATTCCATGTTCTATTGAGATTGTTTTGAAATTTCATCTTTTCCACATGGTTTTCATGTGATATTCTCCCCCAACAACTTGTACGATGGGTTCTTTTGTAATTGGTGCGTGTTGGGAAAGTATCAGGTACTCCTATCCATGGGGTACTCCCGGTGCTTCAAGTTTAAAAACAACATTTATAAGTGTTTCAAAAAATTCTGAAAAAATTGTAAATGTTCGTAAGGAATGTAACTACAATCCCTAAAAATTTCAGGTCCAAACTTATAATGTACATTGAGAAACAAAATTTTAAAATCTGGCATGAATAGTGTAAAAAAGATAAAATCAACATGGACACTATTCACACCTGGATTTCACATTTTTGTTTCTCAATGTACATTTGGAGTTTAGACCTGAAATTTTTAAGGGTTGTAGTTACATTCCTTTTAAACATTGACAATTTTTTTTCCAGAAGTTTTGGAAACATTTAATATTTGTTTTGAACTTGGGGCACCGGGAGTACCCCAAGGATGGGAGTACTAGATATTTTCCCGGTGCGTGTTGAGACTATCCCTTTTGTAATGCCTATTATAATGTGGACTTTGAATGAGGCTATGTAATATGGAGCTATGTAATATGGAATTTAGTGATGCACGGCTGCAAACTATGGTTTTGTTGTTTATGTTATATGAATCTACTGATGTACTGGTTCATTTTATGATGCTTATTTTTACTACGATTATGTTTCAAAGCGTTTTATTGCTCCAGTTATGTGTTAATTATTGATTTTTCTTCTTATTCACATATAGTCGAAATAATTTATCATTTGTTTAGATTATGTTGAAATGATGATGCTTTAATGCTCGAATTATTAGTGAAGTGTCGAAATGTCTTTCGAATATTGTATTGTTGCCAAAAACTTCATTGATGCAGCCTACCTTCGATACAGACTACCGAACACAACCGCAACACAACAGGTCTAGCTCGTGCAAGCTACCGAACAAAGTCTCAACTCAGCATGTCTTAACACATACACCCGTACCTTGCATGTACTTAATGTGGCTAGACTTAGCATGTCTCAAATGGGAACAACAATACTAGGATAAGAACACCTACCAAACACAACCTTAAGCCCCAGCCCTTTGCGTAAACAAGACATACCTGATCAAACCGAGCCAAACAAACAAAAAACCGAAACTCTTAACTCTCTCTCTCTCTCTCTCTCTCTCTCTCTCTCAACTAATTGATACTCCCTTAGTCCTATAATATAAGACGTGACATAGCTTGCAAAAATGTCTTATATTATGGAATGAAGGGAGTACTAACCTAATTAAGTATCCAACAACGTTAATCGCTAGATCCAAACTCAGCCAGTACTCTGCTTAATTGTTTAGTAAGTACAGCAGTAAAATAAAACGCTTGGCTCTTGGCAGGACATCGAACAAAACCAAGATTGCTCAGTATGGTTCATACTACTATAGTATGGGTAGCACCAGGAGTTGTGATGGTCGGTTTGACTTCATCTGATGCGGCAGCTGCATACCAGAAATTTTCCCAATAGAAATCTCATAGAATGATAGAAATAATCTACGCTTTCATGTTGCCATACTTCGCCACTCTCCTCTGGTCGGCGCCATGAGGCATGAGGTGATGAAATATGAAGTCGAGACGTGGTAGGAGTCGATGCATACTTTTCTTAGAACTGTTGGACACGGCACTGGTGGCAACATCATCGAGCTGCTTCATGGCGCCCACGTACGCTCACCAATAGCGTTCGAACGCCGGTAGTGATTCTGACACGTGGGCCTGGTTTGCAGGCAGGTGAGTTTAGCTTATCTTCCTTTATTTGCATGTGGGCCTGGTTTCTAGGCAGGCGGCACATGAGAGAATGGAATTTTCTAAAAGCTAGGGGACCTAAACAGAAAATTTGGATGGCCTGCTTTTAGGGCCAATTCATGTTAAATACTTTTAGATAAGTTTCTTTTAACAAGGTACATAGGCTCGTACATACATTTATACACTTACATCTATAAACGCACATATTTACATTCTACTCCTATGAACACTTTATAGAGACCGAGAAGACGCCATCATCTTAAGATATGAAATTGTCATAAACACTTTCGTAGTCGATAAGACGTTCATGTTCACAATTCAGTGGGAGAAGACATCTTGAGATTGTGAACATGAATTTATTTCAGGCCTTTCAAGTTGTGCGGTAGTTCATGTTCACAAGCATGGTTTGGGTTACGTGTTGATGTCCATCAAGGAGATGTGCACGACCGGTTGTGGACGGACATACATGTCAGATAATGGTTTGAATTTCAATTTCTTCTCTTTCTTTTTATCTTTTTAGCTGTGTGCACCTAAAATGTTTTACTTGTATTATTATTATTTTTGCGGGAAATTATAGATCTATTCATCTTCAATCATGACAGTACAACGAACACTAGAGATAATAAAAATTACATCTAAATTCATAAACCAACTAACGGCAACTACAAGCACTGAAACAAGCCGAAGACGCGCCGTTGTCATCGCCCTTCCCTTGCTGGAGCCGGACACAACTTGTTGTAGTAGATAGTCGGAAAGTCGTCGTGCTAAGGTCCCATAAGACTAATGCCCCAGAACAGCAACCGCCGCCGATAAAGAGAATTTTAGATCGAAAGAATCCAACCTGAATACACATGAACAAGACGAACAAAGACAGGATTCGAGCGGATCCACCAAAGACAACCACCAACCAAATCTCGCGAGATCCGCAGGAGACACACCTCCACACGCCCTCCGACATGTTGGGGAACAAAGTAGTTTTAAAAAAAATCCTACGCACACGCAAGATCATGGTGATGCATAGCAACGAGAGGGGAGAGTGTCGTCCACGTACACTCGTAGACCGTAAGCGGAAGCGTTATGACAACGCGGTTGATGTAGTCGTACGTCTTCACGATCGACCGATCCTAGTACTGAACGTACGACACCTCCGTGATCTGCACACATTCATCAAGATGACGTCCCACGAACTCACGATCTAGTAGAGCATCGAGGGAGAGTTCCGTCAGCACGACGGCGTGACGACGGTGTTGATGAAGCTACCGACGCAGGGCTTCGCCTAAGCACCACTACGATATGACCGAGATGGATTATGGTGGAGGGGGGCACCGCACACGGCTAAAAGATCAATGATCAACTTGTGTCATGGGGTGCCCCCTGCCCCCGTATATAAAAGAGCAAGGTGAGGAGGCCGACCGGCCCTAGGAGGGCGCGCCAAGAGGAGGAGTAATCCTCCTAGTGGGAGTAGGACTCCCCTTTCCTAGTCCCACTAGGAGGGGGAAGGAAGGAGTGGGAGAGGGGAAAGGCAAGGGGGGCGCCCCCCCTTCCCCGTCCTATTCGGACTCGTGGGGAGGGGGCGTGCGGCCTGCCCTGGCCAGCCCCTCTCTCTCTTCACTAGGGCCCATTAAGGCCCATTAGTCCCCGGTGGGTTCCGGTAACCCCTCCGGCACTTTTCTCCGAGATCACTCGAAACCCTTCCGATGTCCGAATGTAGCCGTCCAATATATCATTTTTTATGTCTCGACCATTTCGAGACTCCTTGTTATGTCCGTGATCACATCCGGGACTCTGAACTACCTTCGGTACATCAAAACACATAAACTCATAATACCGATCGTCACCGAACGTTAAGCGTGCGGACCCTACGGGTTTGAGAACTATGTAGACATGACCGAGACTCATCTCCGGTCAATAACCAATAGCAGAACCTGGATGCTCATATTGGTTCCTACATATTCTACGAAGATCTTTATCGGTCAAAGCGCATAACAACATACGTTGTTCCCTTTGTCATCGGTATGTTACTTGCCCGAGATTCGATCATCGGTATCTCAATACCTAGTTCAATCTCGTTACCGGCAAGTCTATTTACTCGTTCCGTAATACATCATCCCACAACTAACTCATTAGTTGCATTGCTTGCAAGGCTTATAGTGATGTGCATTACCGAGAGCGCCCAGAGATACCTCTCGGACAATCGGAGTGACAAATCCCAATCTTGATCTATGCCAACTCAACAAGTATCATCGAAGAC